AGCTTCCGGGTAACATGGAAATGACGTCATTCACGTAGATTACTGATTGGCAGCGCTAACTCGAAATTTCGAGTTGCTTTTCTCAAAATTTTGAGTTAATATGTCGAAATTTCGAGAAAATAACTCGAAATTTCGAGTTGCTTTTCTCAAAATTTTGAGTTAATATGTCGAAATTTCAAGAAAATAACTCGAAATTTCGAGATAATAACTCGAAATTTCGAGAAAATAACTCGAAATTTCGAGAAAATAACTCGAAATTTTGAGTTATGGATCCTTTTTTTTTTTTAGTGGCGGAAACGGGCTTCCATAGCTAAAAAATCACAATCCTTTTGACTTAATGTTTTTAAAAGTCTGTAGGATGATCCTTTGGGATTTGTTCCTAAATTAAACACATACTTCTACTAATAGATTTCTTAAAAAAAATACTTAAATTTTAAAAATAAACTGAACTTCTTAAAAGAACTTAATTGATGGATGGATAATGAAGCTGCTGATAGAAAAGTCAACAAGTAAATAATCAGAAGATCAATATGAATCATTAAAAACACAAATAAAACATTTGTGAACGTGACCGACTTTTTTAGTAGTAAAAAGTATTTACCAGTTTAATCCAAACTATCAATGTGCCATTCATCAATTAGAATTATTATTAAGTGTTAGTGGTCAAATAAATACAAGTACCAGTACTTTAGAATCTAAAACCAAAGACAGTTTAAGTCACTTTTACCTTTTAATTTAGTTCAAGACAACTATAATAACCTTGCCCATCTGTGTAAACTTGCTTTTTTAACTCTTGCACTCTTATGAATCCACTTTGTTTTCATGTTATTTGTTGTTATGGAAATAAAGTTAATTATCAAAAGGCAGATCTGGAGGTAATTTCAGTGAGTGGCAAAGTTAGTAAGCGGCTCAGTGATGGTGACAATGGAAATTATACAGAGTACAAGCGTACATAGATACTAAATATGTATGTTTGTGTGTCTCATTAGCAGCCATACCATGTGTCCTACCCAAGACTCATTGAATGCGGAGATTGAGGATATTTTTCTTGGACCGACACATCCACCTCCACGTGATTACTCTTGTTTTTTGTTTTTAAATATATTCTCTCCTTATGTTTATTGTTGTAGTGATTTTGTCTTTCTGGTACTAATATTGCCCTTTTGTTTAAAAATTGCATTAACATTGTAGTTCTCAAATCATAAATTCTTCTATATTCAACACAGTACACTTAAAATTATTCCACATCGTCTTTTTGCCGTTTATTTGAATTAGGCTTTTTCGTTTGTTTTGTCATGTGTCAGAGTTGTTGAAAAAAGGAGATGATGCAGAACAGCATGCAAGGGAGAAGATGGTGGGTGAATGTGATTACATCTCGCTTACTGAAACCGAAAC